AAAAAAAGGGGGGGGGACTGTATTCATGAACCTGAGGACGGGTTTGCGATCCATTCTATCCCTACTTTCATCTGCCCTAAATCCTAAATTCATCCTATCCTCTGCCCTAAATTTTAATTGTAATGTGCTTTCTCCTGTTAATTACCTTTATCTTACATTCCAGTTAATTATCACTAAAGTTATAATTCCTGTGATTTAATCAAACCAAACATTGTAGGGGAATACAGCTGGAAAGGCTTGCAGATACAATCAACTCATTCTAACTTTGACTAACTAAGGTTGGGCCACCATTCCTTCCCTCCCCGTCTCATCCTTATCCTGATCCCTTCCAAGTGCTATATAGTCGTAATGGCTTGGCGCTTTTCCTCCCCTGATAGTTCCCTTCCCTATACAACTTATCGCTGGGCTGAAATCACTCTAGCATTAGAGTTAGGCTTTAACATATAAGCCAGTAGCAATAAAAAAATCCTCTTACCTCCTTTCACTGCGGCAAGTACAACATCATAAACATATTTATCTCACAAACACACACGGACGATCAATTGATCCTCTATTTATCGACTTGCAGATTGATCTGCATTGTAATCAGACACGCTTATTCTTAGCCGATTAATATTTTAGTAAATCAACAGCTGTATCATCACTCAATTGATCTTCGTGTAGGTGTATTCATCATTCATGCATCTGCAAGTTTACCATAACAAAATAATCTCTTTCACTAAAGAATTACAACGGGATTAAAAGGAATTAAGTGATTAAAAACGCGTGATTAAAACCCCCAAATGTCATCCTGTGGCCCGCACTGGGAAGGTTACTCCCCCCTCCGGGCGAGTCCACACTGAAAATCACCATGAGCCGCCCACTCACGCCCAGTGGGCCACCGACCATCGACGAGGGAGGATGTGCCACTCCCGCCTCCATCGTGCTATTTCACCTAAACTTCCTTATATCATCCCATTATCGCTACATGCATGACTAACTTGTACTTCTAAACATCAACATAAGACAACTGGGCACTCATCCCCTCTGCATTAGGCAAACTACGGTAATTAAAGGACTCTAACCTCACAATTGCCGGCGTGACGACGCTGTCTTCCCGACTCAAAAATGGCGGCAAGAGTTTACCTCCTTCAGGACGTCCACAAATTCTTCATTCGACTGCCACTGTCGCCTTCTCTTACGTCCTGAGTGGTGCCGATACACAGGATACTAAGTTTACCTCTCAGCAGATCGTCTTGAAGGATAAACTAGGTCTCTGGAACGACTACCAAGGAACCACGACCAGCTTCTAGGCTTCAGGTGGTCGTCCAAGTCACCAGTATATAAGACGCGCCATAAACCGTCTTCCAAGACACTTGTTTCCGCTGATACTTGGTGCAGGTTCCTCACCAGAAGGGCACGATAGCTTCCTTGGCTGTGGAGCGAGGACGTGCGTGCCTCCCCACGTGCCCTTGACCTGCACACTGACCGCTGACGTGGCGGACCCGACCACGGCACGCGATGACGTCACCCTACAATGACGTCACCTCTGCATACGGTACTCTCCCTACAATGATGTCACCTCTGCACACGGTACTCTCCCTACAATGACGTCACCTCTGCACACGGTACTCTCCCTACAATGACGTCACCTCTGCACACGGTACTCTCCCTACAATGACGTCACCTCTGCATACGGTACTCTCCCTACAATGACGTCACCTCTACATACGGCACGCTCCCTACAATGACATCACCTTTGCACACGGTTCGTCACATACTGTTCACATCTTATCATGTTTCCATAAAGTTGCTCATATCCGCCTTAATTCCTCTTCTGTAGTAGCGATTGATTGATTGATTGATGAAGATTAAGCCACCCAAGAGGTGGCACGGGTACGAATAACCCGTAAAAGCTGTAATAGCCAATGGTGTTTGCTTATATTGTCGACTTATATTCAAACATCCCTCTGGATGTTTGAATATATTCCTCACTCGAGTGAGGAATAACTCTCCCTTTAGGGCAGCGCCTGTATGATGAGGCATTATGTACTGTTCCGTTTTCTGTTTTGGGTTCTCTGGTAGGTTAGGAGAGGACACTTTAAACTGACCGTTTTCTTGGCGTTCGGAAATCTTAGATTGCTCCTTTAACGTCATCTGAACATTCACCCTTAACTTCAGTTGACCCATTACCCTTACCTTTATCTGACTCCTCTCCCTTACCTTCATCTGACTCTGCTCTATTACCTCTATCTGGCCCTTTCTTATCCTTTCCTTTGATTTCCTTTTCATTCCCTCATCTCTACCTTAGACACCCCCAACCCCACCATCATATTTCCTCTCTCACCTCTCATTCTCTCCCATCTCTGCCCTATCCCTATGTTCCTCAATGTTGTACACAGCATCCTCTTCCTGTTACACTCCACCTTAGTCTCCTCCACCTTCTCCTTCTACTTCATCCACTACTCTCCCTACTCCCCCTACTTCACCTACTACTCTCCCTACTCCCCCTACTTCACCTACTACTCCCCCTACTTCACCTACTACTCTCCCTACTCCCCCTACTTCACCTACTACTTTCCCTACTCCCCCTACTTCACCTACTACTCCCCCTACTTCACCTACTACTCTCCCTACTCCCCCTACTTCACCTACTACTCTCCCTACTCCCCCTACTTCACCTACTACTCTCCCTATTCCCCCTACTTCACCTACTACTCTCCCTACTCCCCCTACTTCACCTACTACTCTCCCTACTTCACCTACTTCACCTACTACTCTCCCTACTCTCCCTACTTCACCTACTACTCTCCCTATTCCCCCTACTTCACCTACTACTCTCCCTACTCCCCCTACTTCACCTACTACTCTCCCTACTCCCCCTACTTCACCTACTACTCTCCCTACTCCCCCTACTGCACCTACTACTCTCCCTACTCCCCCTACTTCACCTACTACTCTCCCTACTGCTCCTACTCCACCTGCTCCAAGGTGTGACCTTGTCTCCAGCACGACAGCCGTCAAGGAAGGCGCAGAAGGAGGGTCGGGTCGCTCCAAGATGCCTCCGATGGGTATAATTAGGGAACGAAATACTCACTTAAAATATTAGAATTGAGTCTCTCTAGGATGGGATCGGGAATCACTGATAATGAGGCCCTTTATATAATCAATATTTGTAATGAATTTAACAGTTTCTTTTTTAATGAATTGTAATTAGTGAGGAGAGATACACACACACACGAGTGTTAATACTTATAAATTCTAGTAAAAGCAAGCTGTGTTTGTTAAAAAAAAAAACTTTTTTTTTCTGTTTTTAATATAAAAAGGGGGGGGGCTGTATTAATGAACCTGAGGACGGGTTTGCGATCCATTCTATCCCTACTTTCATCTGCCCTAAATCCTATCCTATCCTAAATCCTAAATTCATCCTATCCTCTGCCCTAAATTTTAATTGTAATGTGCTTTCTCCTGTTAATTACCTTTATCTTACATTCCAGTTAATTATCACTAAAGTTATAATTCCTGTGATTTAATCAAACCAAACATTGTAGGGGAATACAGCTGGAAAGGCTTGCAGATACAATCAACTCATTCTAATTTTGACTAACTAAGGTTGGGCCACCATTCCTTCCCTCCCCGTCTCATCCTTATCCTGATCCCTTCCAAGTGATATATAGTCGTAATGGCTTGGCGCTTTTCCTCCCCTGATAGTTCCCTTCCCTATACAACTTATCGCTGGGCTGAAATCACTCTAGCATTAGAGTTAGGCTTTAACATATAAGCCAGGTGCAATAAATAAATCCTCTTGCCTCCTTTCACTGTGGCAAGTACAACATCATAAACATAATTATCTCACAAACACACACGGACGATCAATTGATCCTCTATTTATCGACTTGCAGATTGATCTGCATTGTAATCAGACACGCTTATTCCTAGCCGATTAATATTTTAGTAAATAGCTGTATCATCACTCAGCTGTATCATCACTCAATTGATCTTCGTGTAGGTGTATTCATCATTCATGCACCTGCAAGTTTACCATAACAAAATAATCTTTCACTAAAGAATTACAACGGGATTAAAAGGAATTAAGTGATTAAAAACGCGTGATTAAAATCCCCAAATGTCATCCTGTGGTCCGCACTGGGAAGGTTACTCCCCCCTCCGGGCGAGTCCACACTGAAAATCACCATGAGCCGCCCACTCACGCCCAGTGGGCCACCGACCATCGACGAGGGAGGATGTGCCGCTCCCGCCTCCATGGACCTATTTCACCTAAACTTCCTTATATCATCCCATTATCGCTGCATGCATGACTAACTTGTACTTCTAAACATCAACATAAGACAACTGGGCACTCATCCCCTCTGCATTAGGCAAACTACGGTAATTAAAGGACGCTAACCTCACAATTGCCGGCGTGACGACGCTGTCATCCAGACTCAAAAATGGCGGCAAGAGTTTACCTCCTTCAGGACGTCCACAAATTCTTCATTCGACTGACACTGTCGCCTTCTCTTACGTCCTGAGTGGTGCCGATACACAGGATACTAAGTTTACCTCTCAGCAGATCGTCTTGAAGGATAAACTAGGTCTCTGGAACGACTACCAAGGAACCACGACCAGCTTCTAGGCTTCAGATCGTCGTCCAAGTCACTAGTGTTTAAGACGCGCCATAAACCGTCTTCCAAGACACTTGTTTCCGCTGATACTTGGTGCAGGTTCCTCACCAGAAGGGCACGATAGCTTCCTTGGCTGTGGAGCGAGGACGTGCGTGCCTCCCCACGTGCCCTTGACCTGCACACTGACCGCTGACGTGGCGGACCCGACCACGGCACGCGATGACGTCACCCTACAATGACGTCACCTCTGCATACGGTACTCTCCCTACAATGACGTCACCTCTGCATACAGTACTCTCTCTACAATGACGTCACCTCTGTACATGTCACGCTCCCTACGATGACGTCACCTCTGCACACGACACGCGATGACGTCACCTCTGCACACGACACGCGATGACGTCACCTCTGCACACGGCACGCGATGACGTCACCTCTGCACACGGTACGCTCCCTACGATGACGTCACCTCTGCATACAGTACTCTCCCTACAATGACGTCACCTCTGCATACAGTACTCTCCCTACGATGACTTCACCTTTGCACACGGTTCGTCCCATACTGTTGACATCATCTCCTGTTTCTATAAAGTTGCTCATATTCCCCTTAATTCCTCTTCTGTAGTAGCGATTGATTGATTGATGAAGATTAAGCCTAAGCCACCCAAGAGGTGGCACGGGCATGAATAACCCGTAAAAGCTGTAATAGCCAATGGTGTTTGCTTATATTGTCGACTTATATTCATATATTTCTCACTCGAGTGAGGAATAACTGTCACTTTAGGGCAGCGCCTGTATGATAAGGCACTATGTACTGTTCCGTTTTCTGTTTTGGGTCCTCTGGTAGGTTAGGAGAGGACACTTTAAACTGACCGTTTTCTTGACGATGGGAAATCTTAGGTTGATTCTTTACCCTTTATCTGAACCTTTACCCTTACCTTCAGCTGACCCATTACCCTTACCTTTATCTGACTCCTCTCCCTTACCTTCATCTGACTCTGCTCCATTACCTGCATCTGGCCCTTTCTTACCCTTTCCAGTAGGTTTCCTTTTCATTCCCTCATCTCTACCTTAGACACCCCCAACCCCACCATCATATTTCCTCTCTCACCTCTCATTCTCTTCCATCTCTGCCCTATCCTTATGTTCCTCAATGTTGTACACATCATCCTCTTACCTGTTACACTCCACCTTAGTCTCCTCCACCTCTTCCTTCTACTTCATCCACTACTCTCCCTACTTCACCTACTACTCTCCCTACTCCCCCTACTTCACCTACTACTCTCCCTATTCCCCCTACTTCACCTACTACTCTCCCTACTCCCCCTACTTCACCTACTACTCTCCCTACTCCCCCTACTTCACCTACTACTCTCCCTACTCCCCCTACTTCACCTACTACTCTCCCTACTGCTCCTACTCCAAGGTGTGACTTTGTCTCCAGCAGGACAGCCGTCAAGGAAGGCGCAGAAGGAGGGTCGGGTCGCTCCAAGATGCCTCCGATGGGTATAATTAGGGAACGAAATACTCACTTAAAATATTAGAATTGAGTCTCTCTGGGATGGGATCGGGAATCACTGATAATGAGGCCCTTTATATAATCAATATTTGTAATCAATTTAACAGTTTCTTTTTTAATGAATTGTAATTAGTGAGGAGAGATACACACACACACGAGTGTTAATACTTATAAATTCTAGTAAAAGCAAGCTGTGTTTGTTAAAAAAAAACTGTTTTTTCTGTTTTTAATGTAAAAAAGGGGGGAGGGAACTGTTTTAATGAACCTGAGGACAGGTTCGCGATTTATTCTATCACGACTTTCATCTGCCCTAAATCCTATCCTATCCTAAATCCTAAATTCATCCTATCCTCTGCCCTAAATTTTAATCGTAATGTGCTTTCTCCTGTTAATTACCTTTATCTTACGTTCCAGTTAATTATCACTAAAGTTATAATTCCTGCGATTTAATCAAACCAAACACTGTAGGGGAATACAGCTGGAAAGGCTTGCAGATACAATCAACTCATTCTAACTTTGACTAACTAACTTTTGACTAACTTTAAGTTGCTAAATAGAAATATTTTCTTGAATCTATGCTCACTTCACTCTCCCTCTTATACCGCTATGCTATGTACATTATTATATACAAATAGCCACCTAAATTTGTATGGCACCAACCAACCTTGTATGTATATACAGAGGAAAAGATATGGCATATGGAGAAATAAATTGTAAAGGCCATTTGGCGGATGAGGGAGGATAGCGACCTTTGGCAACTATTCTATTTTTGTTTACATTGACAACAGCTGAGCGGAGCGCCGCGTTCAAACAGGTCATTTGAATACAGCCAAACGATGATGAGAATCGTGGAGCAGTTAATGCCCCAGTGGGTGCAAATGTGGAAATGTGAGAGGCTGAATGCCAATTTGTTCAGGAAAATAGTATTTTTATATGTGTTCTGGCACAAATATGTGTGTGTGTGTGTGTGGATCTAATTGTCTCTACCGGCTGAATATAATGATATACAAAGTTGTAAAAACTGACAACATTGAATACACAATACGCATATTCAGTATGAGCATGAGAGAAAGAATTAAAGTCGGAAAAACAACCATAAACTTATTAATTTAAAACAAAATAAATTACTTCAATACTTGACATACAACCTGGCTTGTACAAGACACAAATTGACATAAAAGAGAAAAAAAATGAAAGCAACTATTTGGACTTGGGACAAAGATTGAAACAAAGTTAAACCCAATGTTGCAAGTTACCAAAATACCTGAGGAGAATAACCTGCCGTGGCAAACCACTCATGACAGCTTTGAAGTCTTACTAATTAATCTTACTTTTTCGGTCATATTTAATAATATATATATATATATATATATATATATATATATATATATATATATATATATATATATATATATATATATATATATATATATATATGTCGTACCTAGTAACCAGAAGGCACTTCTCGGCCTACTATGCAAGGCCCGATTTGCCTATTAGGCCGAGTGATTTCCTTTATTTTTAATAAATTGGTTTCCAATTAGTTTATTTGAATTATTATTATTTTATTATATTAGGAACATAAATTACTGACGTAGTTGTGTTAGTTTAGGTTAGGTTTAGATACGTTAGGTTAGGTTGGGTTGGTTAGGTTCGGTCATATATCTACGTTAGTTTTAACTCAAATTTAAACAAATTAACTTATGCATAATGAAATGAGCAGATTTATCATTTCATAAGAAAAAAATTTAGAAAAATATATAAATTCAGGAAAACCTTGCTTACTAGGCAAATTGGGCCTTGCATAGTAGGCCGAGTACGACGTTCTGGCTACTAGGTACAACATTTATATATATATATATATATATATATATATATATATATATATATATATATATATATATATATATATATATATAATATACAGTATATTCCCGTTCATGACAATCGGATTTTCAAACATATCTGTGTGTGTGTGTCAAGCATGAATGATCCCCAAACCAACTTGCATCAGAAAACTCTTGACGCCTGAGTGATTCGAACTCGGTCAGGCAGGGCCTCCATGCCCCTTGGCAGTCCAGTACTCTGACCATTCAGCCACCGACTGTACAAAATTATTATTGTACGGGTTGGGATCGAAATATAGTCTACATTCTCTCGTGCTTTCAAAACAGTGGGTTATTATTTTCATCTCATACTGCCCCAGCACCAATAACTTTCCTCATCTCACCACATTCGCAATGCTCCTCATCATCTCAAAGAAACCAGGTAGATGTATGATAGACAATCAGGGTAGTTCCTATATGCAAGAAAGGAGGGACAGTAGCCACTGAATTAGAGACCAGATGTCTGTGAACTGGAGACAGAAACCACTGAACTAGGGACTAGGAACCTCTGAACTAAAGACCAGAGTCATTAAGTATCCATGCAAGTTTCTAGACAATCTCGTAAGGAAACGCCTCATAGAACACTTAGTATAAAAAGACTGCTTTGTATCAAAGCAAAAGCATAGCTTCACTTGAGGCAGATCTTGCTCAACAGGTCTATTAAAGTTCTCTAATTACAAAAGTGACAATATTAGAAGACAGAGAATGGTGGGATGTGTTTTGCCTTGAGTGTCGGAAAGCTTTGCACACACACACGTACAGGTGTACATGTGTTGTGAAGGTGTTAGTGTATTTTCGTTTGTAAACAATATGCAGCACTCAAAAAAACATGTAACACACACACACACACACACACACACACACACACACACACACACACACACACACACACACACACACACACACACACACACACACACACACACACTCACTCCTATCCTCAAAGTAAACCTGAAGTCAATTAATCACTCTTACCATTAACCCTGGAGAGCCATAAACACAGGTGAACACCATATGAATCGGTGCAATTTCCAGCAGAACAAGGGCAGCAAACCATTATTATCCCCTAGTGTCGTTAATTCCAGTCGTAACGAGTGGCTGCAGTAGAGCATGACAAGTAAACGATTCAATTCCCTTTCTTGCCAGTAAATCCAACGTAGAAAAACTCCGCTTCCCACCACCACAAGATCCAGCTCACCATTAGGTCTCTTACACCCTACACTTTCACCCATTTTGCCTATTCACTCCTCTCTCTCTCCCCCATTAGAAAAGGCAATGGAGACGAGGGCCAATCAATAAACAATTACCTTGATTGTATAAGGAGTCGCGGGCTTCCTGCTCAGCCCACAGGTGTCCACCTCCCAGGTATTAGTTAGCTCGTCTCTTGTTTATGCTGCATGGGAGAGCTATCATAGAAGGTGAGGGAGATGACGGGAGGGGGTGAGAGATGAGGAGTGACTGAAGGGAAGGGGGTTGATGAAGGGGCTGACGTAGGAGAGAGAGAGAGGGAAGGAAAGAAAGGAGGGAGAGCGACATGTTAAATTAAAAATTGGGTTGAAGAGGAAAAGTCTGGGATGGCTTCAAATTGTGGTGGGTGTGGGAGGGGTCGTGGGTGTGGTTGCTGGTGTGGGAGGGAAGAGATTGTGGATGTGGAAGTGGAAGGGGTCATGGGTGTGGGAGGGAAGGGGTCGTGAAGGGTCGTGCTCTAGCCAGAGTGATTTCCCGTGTGTATGCTGGGAAGGTCACGATTTTCATGCTCCTTTTCTTCTTTCTTGCTCCTTCCTTCCTTCTTTCTTCCTTTTTCTTTCCTTCTCTTTTTTTAGCTCTTCTCTCCCTTTCTTCTTTCTCTTCCTAATGCATCCTCTCCTCGTTGTTTTGGTCCTCTCTTGTTTGCTCTCTGTCTCTCTCTCTCTCTCTCTGTCTCTCTCTCTGTCTGTCTCTCTCTCTCTCTCTCTCTCTCTCTCTCTCTCTCTCTCTCTCTCTCTCTCTCTCTCTCTCTCTCTCTCTCTCTCTCTCTCTCTCTCTCTCTCTCTCTCTCTCTCTCTCTCTCTCTCTCTCTCTCTCTCTCTCTCTCTCTCTCTCTCTCTCTCTCTCTCTCTCTCTCTCTCTCTCTCTCTCTCTCTCTCTCTCTTCCAGCCTTAGCCACCAACCAACTTGCCAAAGCAACTCGTCCTCCTAATAGAACGTCACATCTTGACGTATACTCTGCCTAAGTCCAAAAACTGTCGTACTAGAAAATGGTAGCGGAAACTGACATTCTGTCCCGTTTTCTGCTTGTGGGTCCTCTGGCAGGTTAGGTTAGGGCACGTTAGTACGGCAGTTTCTTGACGTTAGGACCGGGTTGGCCAAAGACAAGAGTATCAGATAAGGGTAGACAGGTACTCGCTTCCTGATGAAGCCCACTGGCCATTCGGCCTTTTCTGTCTCTTCCTGTCCATATTATGGACCGTTCCTGTCTCTCCTGTCCACCGTGCTGTGGACCGTCCCTGTTTCTCCTGTCCACCGTACATGGACAGGAATTACCGCCATCTTAGGTAATTGTTATATTTCCAGTTATAACACTTTCCATTTTCTTTTACGTTCCTTGGAAAAGAAACTTTTCAAAAAAGAAAAAAAGAAAAGAAACCAGAAAAGAAATCTGTCCTTGCCCTCTATTTCTATATCACTTTGTATCTTATATGTCACGATCATGTCTGCTCTGGTTCTCTACTACCCTGAAACAACAACAACAAACCAGTTGAGCATCTCCCTACCTGAAGATCCATACTACACTAGGTCACTTATTTCAATATTTCTGGTTGTTCGGATGTGTACTCAAGCCCATGTTTGGGTTCTGTTTCCATGGCAACATCTGAATGCCGTCAACTGCTTTCAATACACCCACGTTTGTTTGTTTGTTGCTGTGTGGCCTCGCCTCTCCCCAAGTTATTTAATATCCACCTTAGTTCATTCACTTCTATTTTTGACATTGTCGTCTGACTTATTTCTATATACTCGCGCGTATGTTGGTCTTCTTGTTTCCATTCGTTTTCACACTGCTACTAGAGAAATGTTTCCTCAGGATCATTTATGTATCGGTCATGTCCCCTACACTCTTTATCTAGCGTTGTAACTGCCTTCTATATGTCTTTTATCTTTGTCCAGACATTTCAGTAATTCGGGAAATCCTGGGTGTGTGTGTACTCATCTAGTTGTACTAACATACCTGTGTTAACGTAGGTATGCTCATCTACAAGTGCTCATCTCACCGTACTCACCTAGCTGTACCTAGCTTGTGTCAAGCGTCAGCTCCTGGTTCTGCCTCTTAGCTATCGTTCTGAAAAAAAGAATCCTCCTGAAATATGTCTTCCTGCCGACTCTATTTCCTAGTGTCTCTGTCACTCTGGTTCATCAGTGTACATTCACTTATTTGAATTCTTCTAATTGTGTTTGGAAATCGAGCTGATAGCTCCTGGATCCCGCCTTTCCAACTGTGGGTTGTTTATTGTAACTTTTTGCTTGTGTGTGTGTGTGTGTGTGTGTGTGTGTACTCACCTAGTTGTACTCACCTAGTTGTGTTTGCGGGGGTTGAGCTCTGGCTCTTTGGTCCCGCCTCTCAACCGTCAATCAACAACATCATATGTGTGTGTGTGTGTGTGTGTGTGTACTCACCTAGTTGTACTCACCTAGTTGTGTTTGCGGGGGTTGAGCTCTGGCTCTTTGGTCCCGCCTCTCAACCGTCAATCAACAACATCATATGTGTGTGTGTGTGTGTGTGTGTGTGTGTGTGTGTGTGTGTGTGTGTGTGTGTGTGTGTGTACTCACCTAGTTGTACTCACCTAGTTGTGTTTGCGGGGGTTGAGCTCTGGCTCTTTGGTCCCGCCTCTCAACCGTCAATCAACAACATCATATGTGTGTGTGTGTGTGTGTGTGTGTGTGTGTGTGTGTGTGTGTGTGTGTGTGTGTGTGTGTGTGTGTGTGTGTATGTGTGTGTGTGTGTGTTCGTCATTAATCCAGAGCTTTATTTATAAACATTCACAAATAATGAATAATTGCGAATATATTTGCGTAGTTTCCACTATCCTGCGCTTCCAACACTCTCCCACAAATCCCCCCCCCTCTCCCTTCTCCCTTCCCATCACAAGAATCCCTCGTACCCTTACACCTCTCTCCCTTTCCCATATCGTAAAATCCAAATCTGAATCATTTTCGTGCCGGAATTCAAACCCAACGAGCTATCGGTAAAGACTTTGCAAATAATTGATTAACATGAAGAGGCACATATGTGTCACTCTTGAGTTTTAGAGGCAAAGTGACCCTTGTGACAGTCTGATTTAAGGGTCAATGATCCGGCAGTCTTCCTTACCTCCCCCTACCCTTTCCTTTTGCTGTTCTGATGCTGGTGTCCAATTATTTTACTAATAATTTTTATTCAATCATGGTGTATGGCTCTCGTGGGCTCTTTGATGTTGCCACTGTGTACAGTATTGGTAATTTACTGGTGGAGAGGAGGTTTTAATGGTTTTAATGTATTGGGGGGCAATTTCTACTGGTTTTTTGATTCTACGGGCTCACCATAGCCCGTGCTACTTGGAAATTTTTTGTTCTAGGTTGCGAATCTTAAACAACAATAATTTCTACTGGTTTAACTTCTACAAAAGGGGTTGTATAACTCTCTTTATGCTGATTATACATGACTCTCTTTATCCAGATAATTGTTTCTATACCCTGTTCCAAATCATCTGGTGTTTGTCACTTTCACCACCCCTTCTCCCTCTCACGAGACTATCTGTGGCTACTATCCTCAGTCCCTTCCCTCTTAACCCCCCCCCCCCTCACATGTGACTATCCATCAAGCCATGCCAGCACAGGTGTGGGGGATAATATTGGTGGTGTTGGACTTGGAATTTGCAATCAGCTGTAGGATGCAGCATGGGTGAGGAAGGGGAAGGGGGGGGGGGATGGGACGGGAGCGACACGGGATGGAAGGGAAGGGAAGGGATGGGAGAGAAGGAACGAGAGGGAACGGATAGAAAGGAGGAATATATAGGGCGACTACTCTACCTTACTGATTTAATTTAAAAAGGGATTATCTTCAACCTCCGGTTGTTAATCCTCCTCCTGCCAATCAGGGGCCAGATTCACGAAGCAGTTATGCAGGCACTTACGAACCTGGGGCCAGATTCACGAAGCACTTACGCAAGCACTTACGAACGTGTACATCTTTCCTCAATCTTTGACGGCTTTGGTTACATGTATTAAACAGTTTACAAGCATGAAAACGTCCCAATCAACTGTTGTTATTGTTGTAAACAGCCTCCTGGTGCTTCGGACCTCATTAACTGTTTTTATAATTGTAAACAAAGCCGCCAAAGATTTGAGAAAAGATGTGCAGGTTCGTAAGTGCTTGCGTAACTGCTTCGTGAATCTGGCCTCAGGTCAGAATGAGATAACATGTAACCTAAGTTTATTTTCTTGTTTTCAGTGCTAAATGCTTAGTATTGGAACAACTCTTTCAACAGAGACATATAATTAAATTTATTTTATTTTCACTATTTGCAGAGAATTCACGTGATGTAATCATTGTAAATTTGTTAGAATTTTGTGGGGGTGGTTGAGTGCTATGTGCAATGTTTACAAATGAAATCATTAGCGATAATTGTGCTTTCAGAGACCATTTCCAGTTGGGCTTCAGGAAGAGTGCTAGTGGAGAGCCATAGTCAGCTCTGGCGGTAGTCATGTGTAGTCATGATGGTGTACTTGTGGTATAGGGTGTGGTGTGATAGTGTGGTGATTGTGTAGATAGTAGTGTGATGGTGTTGTGATTGTGTAGGGTGTGCTGTGATGGTGTGGTGATTGTGTAGGGTGTGGTGTGATGGTGTGGTGATTGTGTAGATAGTAGTGTGATGGTGTTGTGATTGTGTAGGGTGTGCTGTGATGATGCAGTGATGGTGGTGGTTGTAGTGTGATGGTGTTGTGATTGTGTAGGGTGTGCTGTGATGATGCAGTGATGGTGTAGTGATAGTGTAGTGTGTGTTGTAATGGCGTAGGGTGTGTTGTGTTGGTGTAATGATGGTGATTATTGTGGTGTGATGGTGAAATGATGGTGATTATTGTGGTGTGATGGTTTAGTGATAGTGAAGTGTGTGTGCAGTGATGGTGTGAGCATCAGGTTGTCTTGAGTCCTTTTATTGCCATTACTCTTTCTTCCTCTCGCTTAGACTTCTCTAATTCTTGAGTTGTATTCTGGTGTTCGAACTCTTTAGCTCTCTCTCGGACCTGCAACAAACCCTTACGATCGAACCCCCGAAATAAGTCACCGTTCACATTGCCCGAGTCTCCAGTCACCCCGTCCTCCAAACAGAGACCCAAAGTCCATTCCATGCACCCGCCAGACCCCGCTATTTATGAATAAAAAATGGTTTAAACACGACTCATGACGTTCGAATATTTCTCGAACAGTGCTTCGCTGACGACCGCTGTTCGAACCGCATGTCGATGCTTCACCCACGTGCTTCAAATATAAATAAACACCAACAGAGCCCCCAAAAAATGTAACCTAACCCAGGAGAACTTTAATATATAATAATATTAATATGTAGTTGAGAACAAAATGATTGTAATAATACGTGAAAATTTGTGAATACGTTTTGGGGGACTCGGACGCAGACTTAACGAGCTGGGGCTTGAGGAACGAGGTTGGATAACGACACTGGGCGTAGTTTGTAATGGTTGTGTGGCGATTAGTGGGGCGGACACCTCTCAAGTGTTATTGGAAGATGTTCACTTTAACTGCAGGTGCTCAGTTATAGCGAGAGGTATAGAAGCTGGATGTTGTGATGCACAAGTTTACGGGCTCACCATAGTCCGTGCTACATGGACACTTCGTTCTGAGTAGCTAAATCTAAAATAACGATGCACAGTTAGCGTGTTTTTACGAGTTTGTTAAAGAAGTTACGCACACGCGTGCTTGAATTAGTCGTTGCTTGTTTAGCAAGATCCAGTAAGTGCACTGTGGCTATGAAACCACGGCAGTAAGCCTTGGCTATTGGTGACTCGCGAGAGTTTAGCGTTTTGAAGGAAATACCAGAAGTAGATATGATTTCTCCTGCTCGTTTGAAAACTGCTTCCTCATGGCCACATATAATCCTTCTTTCAGGGTGTCTGGTCTTGGGTTGAGTGCTTACGATCACTGAGACGTGGTGACTCCAGCACCCTTCAGGCAAGGTAAGTAGTTCCTCGATCCTCGAGTGTCACCTTCAGTAGTGGTTATATATGTGTAACTAGGAAGGGTTATATCCGGCGGTGCCCGGGGTAGTCTATCTCTCCCCACTACTCCTATTCCTGCCTCTTCTCTCCACCGCTCTCTCTCCCCTCCTCTTCCCTCCCTCTGTTCTCGTCTACCTCCCCTCACCCCCCTTCCTTTTCATTCCCTCTTCCATTTCCCTCCAATCTTCCCTATTTTCTCCCTAGTTCACTCTACCCTTTTTTTTCCTTTTTCTCACTCATAATGTTTCATGATATTACAACAAAAAATATATATATATATTATAAATTTAATAATAATTCACAGTCGAGTCAATGATATTCCGAGATTTTATGCTTTGACCTTCGTCCCGCCCATGTTGGGCACGCACCAAGCAGCAATTACTGTTCAAAATTGGGTAAAGCTAGCCCGAGGCATTTAGTCTCTAACCTCGGACAAACATACATAAAATTTGCATTTATCTTTAGAGATTTGTGTTAAAATGTGATCTTTCTTCTGGTGATTGTGTCGTTTACGGTGATTGAAGACCTCGATGTATAAATTTCACTCAACTATGTGAATAATTCAGTCTAATGTCATTGCAGAAAAGACTGAAAAGTCTTCGAGGACCGAAACCCACCATAAGGTAAGTTCCCATTTTCTTCTGTTTCTGTTGAATGATTTTATAAAGCTAGGAAATTGTGGAAGCTTGTGTGTGTGTACAAGCAGGCTGTTTGCGCCTCATATGATAAGTCTCTGGAAGTCTGGAGTTTAACAGACATCTAGGGGGCAAGGTCATTTAAATTGACCACATTCTACAGTTTGAGACCTCGCTTCTGACTGTGGCTCTCTGTCTTCTGTCCTTTTGGTACTCCCATACCTAAATGTGAATTGGAATAAATTGATTGCCTTTCCAATTTGCTTCTCCATCTTGAACACCAGTTTTTTTCGAGGGACAATATCAAATGATTATCGACAGTGTTGGAAAATACAGTCGACCTAGCAATCTTTTTTCCTGTGGAATTTAAGTAACCTTGTGTATGTGTACTGTGTATATGAAACTACACAGAAAGGTTCGCTTTCATTGGTGTAGGGTGTCAAGGGTTAGTACAGAGGGTCAAGGCTTAGCACAGTGTTAAACAAGTACACGCTAGTTCCGAACATACAGGTGTTGTGAAGGTGTTAGTGTGTATTTTCGTTTGTAAAGAATATGCAGCACTCAAAAAAACATGTAACACACACACACACACACACACACACACACACACACACACACACACACACACACACACACACACACACACACACACACACACACACACACAAGTAAAAATATTTAACCCACGCCAAACAAGGGGTCACCAAGGCCCAAAACACGCAACCCACACGCGAAAACATGCCTCGCACGCACACACACCCAAATCAACAGCAACACAAGCGCCCCAACACCCAACTCGCCCCAAAACAGGCAACACTCGCCCCAAAACAGGCAACACTCGCCCCAAAACAGGCAACACTCGCCCCAAAACAGGCAACACTCGCCCCAAAACAGGCAACACTCGCCCCAAAACAGGCAACACTCGCCTCAAAACAGGCAACACTCGCACCGAAACAGGCAACACTCGCCCCAAAACAGGCAACACTCGCCCCAAAACAGGCAACACTCGCCCCAAAACAGGCAACACTCGCCCCAAAACAGGCAACACTCGCCCCAAAACAGGCAACACTCGCCCCAAAACAGGCAACACTCGCCCCAAAACAGGCAACACTCGCCTCAAAACAGGCAACACTCGCACCGAAACAGGCAACACTCGCCCCAAAACAGGCAACACTCGCCCCAAAACAGGCAACACTCGCCCCAAAACAGGCAACACTCGCCCCAAAACAGGCAACACTCGCCCCAAAACAGGCAACACTCGCCCCAAAACAGGCAACACTCGCCCCAAAACAGGCAACACTCGCCCCAAAACAGGCAACACTCGCCCCAAAACAGGCAACACTCGCCCCAAAACAGGCAACACTCGCCCCAAAACAGGCAACACTCGCACCAAAACAGGCAACACTCGCCCCAAAACAGGCAACACTCGCCCCAAAACAGGCAACACTCGCCCCAAAACAGGCAACACTCGCCCCAAAACAGGCAACACTCGCCCCAAAACAGGCAACACTCGCACCAAAACAGGCAACACTCGCCCCAAAACAGGCAACACTCGCCCCAAAACAGGCAACACTCGCCCCAAAACAGGCAACACTCGCCCCAAAACAGGCAACACTCGCCCCAAAACAGGCAACACTCGCCCCAAAACAGGCAACACTCGCCCCAAAACAGGCAACACTCGCCCCAAAACAGGCAACACTCGCCCCAAAACAGGCAACACTCGCCCCAAAACAGGCAACACTCGCCCCAAAACAGGCAACACTCGCCCCAAAACAGGCAACACTCGCACCGAAACAAGCTACACCAATGACACGCTGGGAGAGCGCAAGAACATAATTGTATTTACACGCGTACTGGATCATTTCGTTTCACTTGTCATATGTGTGGAAATTTACACGTAAATTCCTTTTTTTTGTATTTTCTGTTTTTTACATGGAATTACAAGCATTTTTATAAAGGTTAATCATTTTTATTATTCTCCTAAGATACTCGACATTGTAGAAATTATTGAATATTTTAGCGGGACTAGTGTGTGTTCTTGAGACATATTTCCAAGGAGGAAATACGTCTCTACGAACAGGCTTCGTAGAGTGTTGAGGAGTGGAACAAGGCAATTAACTGGTAGAGTAATATAAGCTTCTTCTCTTGTTCCTGGAAAGTTGTCGTTCGAAATTCCAGTGGGAAACTCTGGTGGGAAGGAAGATGCCTATCATGGACTTTCACACGTTCGTATATATATGTATTTATATATGTATATAATATATATGTGGAGGGGGGACCTTAGAGGGGACCTAAACATTCTCTCTAATGCGTTATGTGTGCTTTTCTCCGAGGCTAAGGGTCCCGTTCTAACAGAGGTACCACCTCTGCCAGAGGTGGTACCCCTTATATATATATATATATATATATATATATATATATATATATATATATATATATATATATATATATATATATATATATATATTTATATATCTATATAAGGTACTTATATGAGCTAAGCAGTAGACTGCAACATGATTTATTTTTTACCCGGCGGGGGGCTCCACCATCACTTAATCACCATTTTCAAAATAATTTCCTGCGATAATGTTAGTGAGGATGGAGTGTGGTATTGAGTGAGGGTAGAGTTTGGAATTAATTTAGGGGGGGATTGGGGGGGGGATGGGATCATGGGGGCCGACACCAGTCCTCCAATGGTAGTTCCCTGACACTAGCCGTTCATTTAAAGTTTGGTGAGACTAACCATTAGCGTCTGGTCTATATCCTTGGACCCTCAAAATATACTCTATTTTATAGGTATAGATTAGTGTTTTAAGTAGATTAAATTAACACTTAAATCACAGTAACTTCCATTGAACAACGAATTTTTTTACACTAAAATTTTGTTGTAGAATAAATGGGAAAACATATAACGTTTTCATTATATATATATATATAGAAATAAAAAGCTAAATATGCATATATTCAATAGCAATTATTTACAAATCCGGAGTTTATCCTGCGTTATAATTTGCAAGATTTGGGTTTGGCGGGTGGCAAAATTTACCAACAAAAATGACAAAGGTCTTGTTTGTTGCCAATGTGTTATTTTTGCTCGTGGTGTTAGGTGTGCAAGTCCAAGCGAGGTAGTGGACGACCCGCCAAACACACACCGAAACTACGACGTTGGTACAACGTTCGAGCAAGTTTTTAACACCTAACCAGTTATAACAACCAATATAGCAAGTTGTAACAACGTTCTAATATGTCATAAACACGTTAAGCCAAGGTGTAACAACTTTATTTCAACACACACAGAGATCACACTAACGTGATGCATCAAATGAACAAATCCACAAGGGCCGTGACGAAGATTCGAACCTGCGTCCGGTACGGGATCCACTAAGTTCAGTAGAACTTCGGTTTCAACCCTTTTACCCTATCGTAGCTCGGTCGATTAAGGCAGTGTCTGGGATGCTCCCGGACACAGGTTCGAATCCTCGTCACGTCCCTTGTGGATTTGTTAACTTTATTTCAAGTTGTAACAAACAGAAAATAGAGACAGTTTCGGTTTGTGTTTCCAGGGGAATTTATACCTATAATGTTGTATTGCCACCAGCTGTGATGTTGCAAATGCACTTATAGTGTTGTTAATGCATTTGCATTATTTCATCTATAATCCCAGCCTTAGAGAACCCTGGAAGGGGTTCGAGATTTAGCTGGATAACAGCTGCTTTTAGCTTCTTATTGCTTGTAGGTGCTTGAGAGAGTAAGAATGGAATATTTTGGTTGTTAGACAATAATGGTTCTAGGTATTGATGTGATGAATACTTCTCTCTCGAGCCGGTTGTGCCCTTCAAGGCCCTCAAGCTCTGACACTTGAGTGGCTGCTAGAGTAAACAAGGGATTAGTCTCGTGAGTTGAAGAAAATTAAAAACAATTACAAAAGTTAAGTAATTAGTCTTACAGGGAAAGAGCCGCGACTTGAAGTGCCGTCTAACAGCGTGATGGGGCTGGATTATATAGGGCTGGATTATATAGGGCTGGATTATATAGGGCTGGATTATATAGAGCTGGATTATATAAGGCTGGATTATATAGAGTTGGATTTGGATTAGGGAAGCTAGATTAATGGTGATTTGGAATAAGGCAGGCAGAATTATATTAAGCCAACACATGTATAATGTATTATACTAGGTACAAGTGTATGTGTATAACGTATAACACCTATACTATACGTTAAACACCAACACCTGTATCTAGTAAAATACATTATACACCACCTGTATTATACATTATACACTAACAAATGTGTAGCACAATGTACATCAACACATGTGGAATACATTATCCACCAACACCTCTATAATATATTATATACAATAACCCGTTTAGCTATACACCAACTCATGTATAATTCGATATACAGCCACACTTATATAATAATTTATATACCACCTGTATTAAAAATTGTACACCATTTGAATTAAAATATATACACCACCTATATAATGCATTATATATGACTTGTATGATACATGATACAAGACATGTATAATGCATTATACAAGACTTGTATAATACATTAAACACCTCCAGTAGAATACATGATACACTGACACATGTGGAGTGCATTATGTAATAAATTATTGTATAATTATACACCGCTTGTATAATAAATTATACACCTACACATGTATTATACACCAGCACAGTGTATATGGGTCTATACAGCACAGGTCACTTTGCTGAAATCCCAATAGAAAAACGGAAAAAAAGAAAATGGAGTTTAATTTGTTAGGGGTCACGTCCCATTTTCTAAATTGGCTCAAAGGGTAAACTTCAGAGACTAGAAATAAAATAGGAAAGTTTTTTTTTGTTTGTCTGTCAAATATCAGCATATATTTTTTGTCAGGAATTCAAATACAAAATCTTGAAATCAAAAATAAAATGCGAAATGATATGAATTTAATTAAAATATATCGGATGATTGAATTTTTCAGTATGTTAATTTGTGTGTATGGGGGCCTGTATACTGCAAATTTGCAATAACTGATGTAGTAATGATTGAATTAGTTGCATGACCATTTAGAAATACATATAGAATCATAAACTAATTCTCCGACATACGTGTACTAATCGCTGTCATACACTCGCACAAACATATATAAAAATACACACACATACACACCCACATTAGCGATTTTCCTCGTATGAAATCCCATGTATTTTTCTCCCTGGTAGCAAAAAACAACAGAATCCCTGCGTAGGATTAATTATCATAACCCGCTAAGCTTACCAAGAACAGAGGAGGATCTGCATAATAATCTTCCTCCTCCCCCTCCTTTCCCTTCTTTAAACCCCTTCTTCTTCTTCCCCTCCTATTTGCCCCTTTTCCCTCTCCTCTCTCCCACCTTCACCCACGGGATATTAGCCAAGAAAGGAAGGAACAAAATAAAACATGCACTAATATTAAATTCTCTTTTTGTCAAACAGAAAAATTGATCGTCGACGTTTTGATATGAACTGAAAGGTTAGTGAGGGGTGGGTGAGGGGTAGGTGAGGGGTCAGGTGAGGGAGTTAATGAGTGGGTGATTGGTTAACAATCTTGTCAAAAGGTGTCAATTCTGAAATAAACAGCCAGTAGACCTACAAAACAGACCCAAGACTTAGTGTTGTCAAACAGAAGTTATCTTAATCAAACTACACGGCAGTTTCTTGAGTCATCAGTGAATCATACAAGTCTATAATCCACTTGCAATCAGTCTCTCTCTTGGCTCAGAGCACACTGCAAAGCCAGCGATCTTGCATCTGGTTAAAATTGCAGAATTCAGCCGAGATTCTGTTGACCAGAAAGAACTTTCTCACTGTGCTTGAAAACGCTATTATTTGGGACATCATTAGAGGTTTCCCACAGAAGAGGGCAGACACACTGAAGGTTTAATATAAATCTCTACAATAATCTCAGAGATACACGATACATCTTGACCCGTCACTCTTAACCTTTCAACGATGCATATTTTGGGGCAGCCAAAACTGCGTCTGCACTTTCAGAGAGTCTCGCTTGACTTACCAAAACACAAGGTACACAAATAGCTTAAAGATTATCATGCATACGATAATACAAAAATACACAATGGTATAAGAAGTCGATAACTTGGTATGCAATGATTTGCAACCTGACCTGCATCGCTTGCAACTCCCTCACCACCCCAGAAAGGGAGCTGGAGTTGATGCACTCAACATCAATTTAATTACGAGTCCATCCCACTGGTCTAGACTCCCCAAGCGTTAATTTTATTGTATATATTTATGAAAATAATCTCGTCCCATCCCAAATCCTTATCCTGACCCGTTCCAAGTGCTATATAGTCGTAATGACTTGGCCCCTTTCCCCCTGATAACTCCCTCATTCAGAACAGGCCCCCCAAATATGCTTGTTTCTGCTGATGTTATCAACAAGCAATTATAAATATTAATATATTTAAGACATTTTTTCAGGAGAGCAAATAATTAGTGTTTTTAATCAGATCACTTCATACAGAAATTAATATTTATATATGCATAGGTTGCCAAATATTCTCTCGTAGTCAAGTCAGCTGTATCTAATTTATTCCAGTAATTCAGTGCTGACTAAATACATTAAGAATATTAGTTTACAGTGTTTACCTTCGTCGTGTCATTAGTCAACATTGTATAGCCTTTGTTCAAAACCTGTCTGCCTCTGTCTAGGTTCCAGGCTCCTGGAGACGGAGACAGATATATAGATACAGAGAGGAAGAGGGAGAGACAGAAAAGACAGACAGACGAAAACAGATATAGGCAGAGATACGTTGAAAGACACTGAGACAGACACCAAAACTAATAG